TGATTCAGTACCCTTATCTTAACCTATTTTGATATGATCCAAAAATCAGTCGATCGAATTTCGGAGGTCTCTAAAAAGTCTTTATAATTTAACGATACAGTCTAAAAATATCAATCAATTGCAAATCGATCTAATATAAAGTAATTTTATACCTTCATAATATTTCTCATGTGAATAGTGAAAACTACAGGTCGTTCTCTGCTTTCTATCAAAAATTATTCAGAAAACAGCTACACTAATTACTTTTTAAAAACGCTAGTATCAATGGTAATGTAGTACCCCTAGTGTTTCATATCCAATTATATGTTGTCTTGACTAAACTTTTTCAACTACTGTCTTTCTTGTTATTAAAAATAAGCGTCATCTGTTTCTATTTCTTTATGATTAAATTTATCTGAATGATTTAATATTGATAAATGAATCGTAGTTTTAAAATTCGACGTCATTTTGAATGATCTAAACATATACTCGAACGACGGTCTTTTTTTTCTTTTTGAAAAAGAGACTCACATGGTTTTCAGTTTATCATTAATAATGCCCTCAGAATAATTTATGATACAGGCACTCCTACTGTTTTTTTTACTTCTTATTCTGTTCATTTGAAAAAAAAGAACAACCACTTCGAGAATAGAAAAGTGTGACAATTTGTTTTAAAAGTCGTGTCCTACTTTATGAAGAGTATGGAAGACGCGTTTACAGCATCAAACCAAAAAAACCAAGTAAAACCAATGTAAAATTATTATTTTAAATATTGAACATAAACTTCTATCATATCGATTTCAATTCCATTAGAATAATAATCAAGAACTTACCTAATCATAAAACTGATAGATCAGTAACGAGTACTATCGGATAAGATCGTAAATCTCCCATCTCCCTTAGGCCTCATTTTCAATAGAGTAGTAAGATAGAGCATGAAATTCTACACATTTCTGTCTAGTTATTTTTTGTTTTATTGTATACAAAAAAAAGTTTTTTTTTTCGAAGACTAAATAACCTTCGGGAGTCTATTAGTCTTATGTGTTTTTCGATAATAGCTATAGTAATCATATTTTTTTCTTTTGTAAACTCAATTAGAAAACTAATAACGTAGATCAATGTAATTTTTCATGCTCCACAAAATAACATATCGATCATATTCATTGATTAGTTTATATATAGTTAGACAGGTACAACATCGTACTCGTCTGACTTCGCATAAACTAATCAATATATCATTTTTTAGACCATAAAAAACTACGTCGATCTACACTATTAGTTTTCTTATTAAATTTGCAAAAGAAAAAAAATATTGTTACCATAGCAATTATTGAAAACTCATAAGACTGATAGATCCCCGAAGGTTATTTAGTTTTCGAAAAAATTTTTTTTGTATATGACAAAACTAATAATAACTAGACAAAAATGTGCAGAATTTCATGCTCTTTCTTTCTATTCTATTGAAAATGACATCGAAGGAAGTGACAGATTTACGACTATACCTAGTAGTATCTATTAATTTATTTATTTTTATTTAGATTATTGACAAAATTTCAAATGCAGTGTATAATACATTGTCGTAATCGAACAGTTTTCTTGTCATCATTTACTCTATTTATCCTACTATTAACATATATTCTTTATCCATGGTTTTATATTGCATGGCTTTGGCGAAAAAGTGATATAAATTATATTGATTTTCCAGTAGCATCAAAACAATTAAATAATACTCTAATAAATGTTCCAGCTATAATTCATCAAACATGGCATGATACTGATACAATACCAATTGATTGGCAACAAGCATCAAAAAGTTGTCAATCATTTCATCCAAATTATGAATATCATTTATGGACAGATAAAGATGCTCGACGTTTAATTGAAAAAGAATTTCCTTGTTTATTATCAACATATGATTCATATTCATATGATATTCAACGTGCTGATGTTATTCGTCTTATTGCTTTATATGTATATGGAGGAATTTATTTAGATTTAGATATTATTTGTTTAAAATCTTTTGATCAATTACGTACATATAAATTTGTTCTACCAAAAACAATGCCTGTTGGTTTATCAAATGATTTTATTCTAGCTGCACCAAAACATCCATTTTTATTACAAGTTCTTAATGATTTACCAAAATATAATCGAAATTATCTTACAAAGTAAATTTTATTTTTAATTTATTTAAGGAGACGCTCTCCATCGTCTTTTTTCTGAAGAACGACTTCTCAGAAATAGTACGAAGTGCAAAAAAAAAAGACTGACCTCTCGAAATTAAAATGTAACTAAATATTTATTTATAATTATAAAAGAACTAAATGATATACTAATAGTAATAACAATAATAAATGTACAATATATACAAAAACAATTTTACACAATTTTACAATTAAAAAATTTAAATCAAACAATGATTGTTATTTTCCACCTATGTAGATCTATTTCTTTATCATATATTTGAAAATTTAATTTTAAGAGGTTTCATCAGATCACTTACTAAAGCATGCATGCGAAAAATTTTGATTTTGAAATAAGTTATACCATTCGAAAGTCCATAAAAAGTTATGTTCAAATTCAAATTTTTAACTCTTTCGGAAAATTCTATCAAGAGATATGAAGGGATCTTTGCATTCATCCCCAAGTACTATTTTATAAATTTTCGAAGATTTTGATGAATTTTAGAGAATTCTATTTAATATTCCATGACAACATATATTACCATTAAAGATCCCTCTTTTTTAGTATTAATTAATGTATTTTGATTAGATCTGTTAAATGCAACATGATAGAACAAGATTCTGAAATATAAATCGTGTCTAAACAGTCTCTAATGTGTTATAGTGAACTCGAAAAAATGGACAAAAATGATCATTTTTATGCAAATTTTTTATATTTTTGCCCTGAAAATGTACCAGAGCAATTTCCTTCTAAAAATCTTTTAATATCAGAAGGAAGCTCGTCAAAAACTGTATCTTTTTATATATAACTCAACAATATAATATCTGAAGAGATTATTTAATTTTTGATCATAAAGAAGATCACTATCATGCTAAATAGGTCTACATAGACGGAAAATAATAACTGTTATTTGATTTAAAGTTTTTAATTGTAAGATTGTGTAAAATTGTTTTTGGTATATATTGTACATTTCACTGCTGTTACTGTTGGTACATAATTTAGTTCTTTTATAATTATAAACAAATATATCGTTACATTTTAATCTCGAGGAGTTAGTTTTTTTTTTTTTGCATTCCGTACTATTTGAAACTTTTAGAGTAAACAGATCTTGACGACTAGAACAAAATTGGTCATAGACTCCAAACCCTCAAATATTTCCTTCTAGGAAATATCTGAATTGCAAAGGCTATTGAATGCATTCCCAAAAATACAATTTTTTCCTTTACTAAAGCATTTTGTGTAGAATTTGTCAAAAATCAACAGTGCAATATTTTTCAAAACAAAAAACCTAGGCATTTCAAACAATGTTCAATACTTATAAAAAATTTTCAGCTCAATGGAACGTACTTTGTCGAAGAAACGGAGGGGCGATTCTGTAATTTTTTTGTGCAAAAATTGGTTTCACGAAAAACAAATTGCCCTGTATGTATCAGGACTTGTTTTCTACAACTAAAGTGGTCGAAAAGCGACCATGGTCAGTAATATTTGAAGTTTATTACGCATGTTCTTAGCACCTTTGGAATGAGAAATAATCATTGTTATCAGGAGAATTTTCTATACAAAGAATAATCGTCAAGAGAGTTTTTCTACTAAGAATTTCGAGAATTGAGTTTTGTAAAAGTACTAACTATCAATGAAGAGCCCTCATGTGTATGGCACTTGACAGAGGACACTTCACAGCTATTTTAGCAATAAAAAACTGAAAGATTTTTTATTTTAACGTCTGGAAAGGAAGGGAGTCTTCATAAACAAAAGAAAATTGTTGTTTGTTTGTTTGTTTATTTGTTTTTAATTGACAGATATGCAACAGTTATGTTTTCAACGGGTCCAATGTTTTTGACACATGAAGCATCATATTATCGAAATCGTTTTTCTATAAGTGTTCTTTCAGAAGAACTTTATGGAAAATATACTCATAATTCATCACGATCTCTATTTCGACATTTAAAAGGTATAAAATAAATAAAATTATTATTTTATAAGAATTTATTTTATTTTATTTTATTTCTTTGTCAGCTTCATCTTGGCATGGTAATGATGCTGCAATTGTCAAATGGATCTATCGTCAACGAACAATATTATTTTCATTATCAATCATTTTATTTCTTGTTATCTTTATTCTTATCTATTCTATTCAATATTATCATATAATTGTGAATCTTCTTAGAAAAATTCCTTCAATAATAAAATCAAAATTGAATAATCAATCATTAAAATATGATAAAATTTATTCGAATATTAATCTCATTTAGTTTAGCATGTACTTTTGTTCGGTTTTTTTTTTAATTTTTTTGTTGAATTTAATTGATTGATGTTTAATACATATTGTTGTTCTTATCATCATGATCAGGCTTCTAAAGTAATTATTACTCATCATTACATTATCATCTATTCATGACTTGCAGAAAAAATAGAGAGGGCAAAGAGTATAGAATGATTTATGCTATCTTGTTACAGCCCCAACACATCACTTCGGTTTTTTTTTCTCTCGTCACCATGTGCCCTTCGTACTATTTATCATGATAGACCCGGTGAACTCAATGAATGGTGCTTCTCGTTGATTCGATGTATGTTTTTTCTTCCTTCGTTATTTTTTTTTGGCTCGCGCTTTTCTATGTTCTCGAAAATGAACAAGAGAAAAAAGGGCTTGGTTGTTTGTTTTAGGCCCCTCGAATAGGAGAATAAGAGAAAAAATGAGAAAAAAGAGAGAGAAAAATAGATTCATGATTATCCTATAAAAGCACAAGTTGCCGCTTAAATATTCTTATACAAACTTTCAATTCATTCTATACTCACAAATCGCCTGTTTATTCATTCGAATAATATAAAACTCACAAATGGAAACTATCAAGAATACTGCTAATGCTGTTTCTGATAAAATTAGCGTATGTATCATTTCTTTTTTATAATTATTCAAAAAAGAGATTAAACAGTATGTATGTTTTCTTTTTTAGGAAGTAATCAGCGGTTCATCAGCTGAAGCCAACAAACAAAAAGCAAAAGATTCAAGCAATACTGCTGGTGAACGTGTTGGAGCTGGTATTGATTATTGCAAAGATAAAGTGGATGAAGCTGGTCATGCTGCTTCCAAAGAAGTAAACAAACAAAAAGCTACGCATTAATTTATTCAATTACAAATAAACTTTCATCGATATATATATATATATATATATATATAAATAATCTCGCTCTCTTTTTCCGTTTTGTTGTTGTTCGTCTGTTTTTTTTTTTATTAGCGTGCTTTTATTCGCGATCTTCGTTAAGATATTGTATTCGATATTTTGTGTGTATTGTTCATTACACTACACAATGACGTTAGCGAAATAGAAACTTAAAGATATTTTATGTGCAAAATAAAAAGCAATATATATAAACAGTTCATTTTCTTTTTGTTTCATCTATTTTATGATAATGATATAATTATGTCATAAGATTAGAGTTTATTTAAATAGATACAGTTGTTTTGATGTATTCGACATACAAAGAGTACATCCGAGTCACGTGTTCGTTCACGTGATCAGAACATGGAGCACGTGTTTCGAATTATAAAATACTTTTATGGGTCAAAGGATAAAACTTCAATCAAAACATAAATATGAAATGCAAATTAATTTTTTTCGTATTTGGTAAAATTCCAACAAGAATTCATATTTTATATTTTAGTCAACAAGAACATTAAATCATCTTAAAATGAGACTCGTTTTTTTAATGTAAAAAATATAAATATAAATACCTCGAAATGTCGTGATTATTTGCCTATGATAATAATGGACACTACATTTATATGAATAATTAAAGCTGTGAGATATGATCGACAATTTGATTATGTATAGTAATAAAAAAAATAACATACTTACTACTACATATGAAGCGTTGTGAATAACTAAAAATAAATTTAATTTTTTTATTTTAGTAATTATTTTCAATAAAATGAGAAAGATGAAATTTGTTGAATGATTTCTAATAAATAGAATAAAAAAAAACCAGATCACCAAACAATTTCAAATATTATGTTAAATTTATATTTTGCTTCTTAATAATTTAAATTAAATTTATTGTTAGCGATAAAGAATAAGATATACTTGTTAAATATAACTCAAGTTATTTTTCTTTTCGTTATGTAATTCATATTTTTACAATGATGTTTTTTTTTTATTTAATAAGGTAAACGTGAGAACAAAACGAATCAATTTTAAATTTCGATAGAATTCAATTCTGAATCATTCCAATTTCTAATAAATGACAACGTAGTAATCAATAAATAGAATATCAGAAAACATTATTCATTTGTTTTGTAGTCTTCTCATATCCTGTCTAATAAAGAAAAAAAAAACTATTTTTATATAGTGTGCCGTCTGTTATAATAATATTTGAGGAATGTATCCCCATGGCTAAAACCCTTCATAGAATAGAAGCCTGCGATCGAGATTAGAATTTCCTAGAGAAAATAGAGATTCATTTTACACAGGATGAATACAAATCAATGAAAAGTATAGTAAAATGCATATTTCTATTAATTAATGAAAAAATGGATCGCAACACAAGCTTCCTTCTAAACTTATAGCTTGCGAAACAAAGGCACCCCATGGACTTCTATTCTGTGAGGAATTTATTTAATGAACCGGTTTATAACTATTTTTATTATGCTCTTTAACCTAGCAATTTTCATCATATTTGTTGTCTTCATTTGCCGAAATATTACTCATTATTGGATCTCCTATTCTACACGTAAGATAAATCATACTTTTCATTATTCGTAATAACAGTCAGTATTTTGAGATGTTTTTGGATTAACAACAATAATCTCTTAAAACTTGTCTTGTTTATCATATGATGTCTAGACTTCTATTAGTAATACTTAATATCAATTGTATTGAGTCTCTAAAGCTGTTAAGAATTTATTCTGAAGTCGACTCTTCAGAACTTTTAATAAAACGTATTTTGCTACTATTTTTTTCTAACAAAAGAGTTTTATACGCCAATACATAAATAAATAGTTCATTCAACATTCTATCGATCGTACATTTCGATACAAAAAAAAATTAACTTCATATGTTTAAGATTAACAAAAGAAGGTTCAGACGTTCAAAACTTGTTAAACTTGTCAATTTAAAGATCACAATTTTCGTCATCATGAATAATTATTACCATTTGACTATCATGCATTTCAGCAAGAATCTTGTAATATGATTTTTATAAAGAATTATTTAAGTTTTCTAATACACATGAAACAATTTGAAAATTAAATTTTCTATAAGTCAAAATTTGGAAAACCTCTCTATCTTTCACAATATCGAGTCTTTATTAGCCACGTATGTATTTTTTGAAAAATATGTTCGATAAAATTCAATGTTTTTATTCTATTTGATAGTGTAGTTATAAAAAGTTGTGAGTCCATAGGACGAGATTTCTTATCTCGAATTTTCATACCTCACAGGATCAGTCAAAATTTCATCTACCTATTGTCATACTACGAAAATAATTCTTAAAAAGTCGAAATAGTTAATACATAACGTAAAATCAAAAAGTCCAACTAAAACATTTAGTAAATAAAGGTTGTAGCAGAAATCATGAGCTATCTTTCAAGAAAAATTGTCCTGCTATAATCCTCCTGGACTGACGAGAAAGTTTTCTGAGATGTCAAAAAATATTCTCAACTAAGATTATAATGGTTAGATGGGACATCACTACAAGTGAAATACTATGAGTAGGTTTGGACACATACGATATTCATCACTTTTACCTTGTATATATATACACAGAAGTCTGTTTTTTATTTTATATCTATTTCAGTTATTATAATCTAGGTGCGATGATGTAAGGTATAGGAAAAATAAGATAAAAAATTTATCGCTCTGGTTTGTAACAACGAAGGCAACGCAGTTTATCATAGGTCTATAAGATGGACCACGAATGGATTAACTGGAATTACACTATTAGTCAAGGAACATACGTCTAAGAAACTTCCAGCTCTATCAGCACTTATTCCTAGAGATGTATGGGATTAAGTTCTTGTATTTTGAGTCCCAGGTTCAACTCCTACTCTCAATGATTTCAGTTTTTCATGTCCTGATTCTAGTCTAGAGAAAACTATTACAGAATTTATTTATGTCACATCTAAAACAATTCTTAAATACTTGTTTTTTTTTTATTTTTTTTATTTATTTAGTGGACGACTGACACTATTTTTATCATCTCTCATGAGTTAAAATCTGTATTTGGTGTCACAATGATCTCGAAAACGGAAATTCAGAAAATACTCGTTTAAACGCGATATGAAAATATCGAGATCGAATCAATTCCTTTTTTTTCAATCCTGCGGAGAATGTTTCGTTTGCTTAGAAATAACGCCCAAAAGCAACAAATTTTGGTGAACACAATTTTTTTTCAAGCTTCAAGATAATTATATTGAAACATATCGAAACTTGTACTTTCTTTCCGCGATTATTTCAAGAAAGAAAAGTTAGAAAAATGTTATTTGACATACAAGATCAATATATATCGAGATCGAATTGATACCATCTGTTGTCAGATCTTCCATGGAAGACTCTATTTTCTTATAAAAAGGCGAATTTGTGTGAACTATATTGTTTTTTGCCTGTCAATATAATTGAAATGAATATGGCATAAAAAGTAGACGCCAGTATGCTCGATAAATTCATTTTTATTCATCAGAGATGTATGAATAACTGATAATAGAGAGGAAATCACACAGACAGTTAAACAATAAATTCATAGTGTCTTCTAGAAACATATTGATATGTATTGATAAAGATCTCGTAGTAATGGCATTTAACTATGTCTATTGTTAAATTTCTATTGCACTTTCGATCCGTGGATTGACAGAAATGTGAATAATTCGAATTCTTGATAAAAGCGAAAGGAAAGAAATTCGTTGCTGTGAAGTGTAAATGTCTCGTGGAGAAAAGCGTTATGTAAATAATAATAGAAACGATTATTCCTTTTTTATGATATATTCGTTTTTTTTTTCGAAAATCGGGATTCAACCTTTGAACTGCATTTCACAGTCGAGTGAAATTCGAATGCTGTCGAGTTTTTATTTTTACATTCAGTTTTTAGAAATTTTCAGCAAGAAATATTATGTTATAATCGTTTATATCTGTTAGGTTTCTCAAGAATAAATATGATAGTTCTAAATATAGCACGGAAAATCAAAGTAATTTATCCATCAATTGATTGCTAAACTTCAAATGTTGAATTCTTTTTTTATTCAGCCTTTTCAGACACACCTAATGTTTCTCTTTGAATGACGATCCAAACGTTAATTTGGTCTTTATCAAAATATATATGATATAAGTTTAGCTCAAGAAACATAATTTTGATGATGCTTTTTAAAAAAATGAAAATATACTTCGATTAAAGAAATAAAACAGTATGCACAAATATAAGTAAATAAAATTGATAGTTCTTGAAACGGCATTGTTTTATTATTTTGATAAAAACAAGTAAACTTACTTTGAACAAGTTTTATCAGTGAAAAATGATATATCTATAAAACATTTACCAACCGATAAAAATCTGTCGAATCAGACTCGTTACAAATCTGTCACAGAGTTTAGTTGAGTTTAATGTTAGAAATGGATCGATCGATTTGGTAGCCATTGGTTTTAGTTTATCGAACCCTTTGTCATGCAAATTTTATTGTTCTCATGAATCACAATCTAATAGTGTCCTACATGAAGATTTTTACCCAACCAATTTTCCACAAAAATGCAAACGAGAATTTCTATGGGAACTTTAAAAACGGCCATTTAGGTGTTGACATTCCTATATTTTTTTTTCTCTCTTATTTTCATATACATGAAGATTAATTTACATAGAAGCTTTTAAATTTTCATGTAATTAACTAATTATATTTGCAATAATAATTTTATTTTAATTTGAAGCCATGCCACATTGTGTAAACCGTAATATTACTAAAAGCTAGTGTATGGTAGTGATACTATCAGGGCTGCCATACGTACCCCATTGTGGGGTACTGTACCCCATTTTACCATTTTGCACCCCAAAAAAAGTTGTACCCCCGGGGTACACCGTTTATACCCCATTTGAGTTTTTGAATTTCTACTGTCATAAATTCGTCTATGAATTCAAATAAATT